ATTCACTGCCTCTGGCTGGTGTTCCAACAGGAACTTAACCCCCTGAGTTTATGGTTTGACTGGATCGCACAATAGTATTAAGATATAAAGCAATGGCTAAAACCTTTGTGCAATCCAACTAAATCTTTCATTAAGCTTATTTAATCAACTAAAACACACACATTTCTCATCTGTACAGAAACAACAGGTTATTCCAGTGACAGTATTTTATCTTTTAATTATTTATAAATCTATAGTACTTGTGAAATTGTTCTCTTGACATCTGTGGAAGACCTGTATATTCTGTGGTCAGATATAGATAGATATACACCCGCACACACACATGCATACACATATTATACATACACACACACACACACTATATCTGTATCTATATCTATATAGTATCTACATAGAGATATATATAAGCGATATATATAGTATCTCCACAGGATAGCTCAAATGATCCTTAACTGTAAAATCCAAAGGAGCTAACTCTAGAATTGAAAGAGAGATGTTTACTTGTCACTCTTTGGCCTCCTTTCCATCAGGGACAATGAGAGTGTGGAAAGCTATACTCTGCTAGCTGACCTGCGACCACTAACACATTTAACTAAAGAGTCAATAGCACCATTTGTACGTGCTGCAAATAACTTCCAATCCCTGATCTAGCTGTAAGAGTCTGTATTGCTTTGCTCCCATGAGGCATCCCATTCCCAGCCTATTTTTCCTATAATTTCTGGGTTTGGGGTTGCAAAGTTTCACTGTAAATATGGGGGAGTTTAATTTTCCTATCTGTGACAATCAAAAACATTCACAATCAAAACTGACTAAAAATGACAGTGACTCCTCCTCTGGCCTTAGAGAAGCCACTTATGCCAACACTTTCATACTTGGATGCCTAAATTTAGGCACTCAGACAAATACCTTGGGTTTTTAACACATGCTGAACTGCAGCTCCCATGTCAATAACAATTTTGGTGATCATCTTTAAAATGCTGACAGCGAGCCTGATATGAGCCAGGCACAGACACCCATGAACAAAGAACTCTGAATCTCAATACAGGGACAACACAAAATACTCCAATCTGATTCAGCCCCCAAGCTTGTGCTCTTACGACAACTGTCAGCCTGACATTTCTGTTCATCTTATTGCTTTCACAGTGCTGCTACTGTTTTCTGTTTCATTTCTATGAGTATTATATATGCCCTTTAGAAATGAAGAGTTTCTATAAGTGACAGGCCAATACTCAATCCCCAATATTGCTAGGAGTTGTAGGGTTGGAGTATTGTATCTGTGATGTTCCAGGAAAAGTAGAAATGACCTGAGGAACGGCACTTGATGCGTGCACAATATTCCACAGCTCCCTTGGATCTGTAGTAAAGTATGTGGCTATCAGAGTAGAAAGGGAGGTATGAAACACAGGTTTCTAGACAGAACCCCGCTTTTTGTGATCTGAACATTGGATGAGACAAGGAGGATACATTCACATATCCTAAACAGGTTAGCTCTGCTTTCATTTGGTATTCTGATTTACATCTCCACATGAATCAAACCACAGCAGTGCTCCTCAAAAGGGCCATAGCGGTCCTCCCTGCAGAGGCTCTCATTTTTTTCCCCAAGTTGGGGAGAGGAGGAGGGGGGAAGAGGCATCAGACATGTCAATGAAAAATAAATCTATGCCTTTTTTTTCCCCTTGCTTATTTTTCCCCCCAGGAAATAGGGTAACTCAGTAAGTCATATGTAGAATATTGATTAAATATGTCTAAATGTTTGCTAAGTGCTACCTAGAAATAAGCCAGTGTTAGGGAACAGGATCATAGATGACCCTAGTTTCATTTTGACACCATGGCCATGTCCAGGAGCCATGTGTCTGCAGCTTCCCCAGCACCCAGGACCCCAGGTAAGGCTGCAGCTTCCACAGTTGCTGGCCCCAGCCTCCTCTACTCCACCCGAGGTAGCCTGTTGCGTGCCACAAGGTGCGTAGTAGGGGTGTTCCCTAAGGACAACTAGCAGTAGCACAAGATGTTCACTGATAGTTGCCCCCGGGGAACCATATATCTGCACTAAACTGGATGTGGCCCATGTGTCTTTTCCATGGACAGTGCCTGTGCTATCAATACACAGAAACTCTGAACTAGAGATAGGACAGGATAACAAGACATTAATGCTACAATAATTGCTCAAACAACATATTCAGAAAGGAAACCATGGTGCCGAGAGAAAACCACAGCCCTTATCAGAAGCCTGCACCCATATATAGCTTCAAAGCTCGTTGTGGATGCAGGTTGTATGAGCAGAACCTGATCTAGAGCTGGGGTTTAAATTGGTTATTTGCCACCTGAAATGATACCAAATCGGAAAGGGGCATATGTCCAAAATATTGCAACTTGCTGCTAAACATTCAATTGCACAATATTATTTAATATACACAATTATTTTCATCCATGTTGAAATAGAGCCCATACAGTAATGCCTTGAAAAGCTATAGTTATCATAGAAAAACACCTCTGTGGTCAAGGCAATTCCTGGTTATCCCTTTGCATTTCACTTTCTAGTCCTAATTTACCATGCAGCACACTTACTGAAATACTAGCAAACATGATAACCAAAGATCCTCCTAAGTCCCTTTTTCCAAATCATTTCAAAAGTATTTGAGCAAAACAGCATCGAGGTGAACAGAAAGAACAGAATTAACTGATGACCCCCCGCTTGCAATTTGACACCGGAGGCAGACCAAACACTTTGTCAGTGGGAGATACCTGGAACTGTAACAACTGGGGATCTTTATTCATGATCCTTGGTTTTAAGGAAAGGGTAAAGAAATCTGGTTGGGATCCTTAAAGACATTTAAGTGAGTTATAGGTCCAAATTACACTTGCTATCCACTGGGGATGGAGGGTCAAATGTCTTGAAGTAACCTCAGGGCAGATCTAGAAGGGGTGCAGTGGCACGGTAGCACCCCCTTTCCTGACTTTGTGTCAGAAGCAGCAGCCGACAATGATTTTAAGTCCCAAAGAAGGTAAGAACCCCTTCCCCTCCCTGCTGAGGCATGCCTCCTTCCCTCCCATTCATGTCCCTTCCCCACCATTCTCCCCTCCCCTATGTACTGCAGTTGATGTCCCTACTGTCCTGGGGGTGAGAGGAGCTGAGAATAAGGCAGGGAAGTC